TACAACTCTTGCATCTCTGGAGGTTCTAACCGGTAAGGTGCCTTGGCTATCGGAGCCGCACCTGGAACCAGATCTATATGGAATTCAACCTGCCTCTCTGGAGGCACTCCAGGTAAATCCTCCGGGAATACATCGGGATACTCCCAAACGATCGGAACATCATGTACTGTCTTCTTTCCCTCATCTCGGGTATCCAACATGTAGGCCACAAAACCAGAACAACCTTGGTGAAGATATCTCCTAGCTCTCGTAGCTAAACAGAGAGTTGGTCCAACACTGAGCACCCTCACCATTAATAACTAGTTCTCCCTCAGTTAGGGTTCTAACCCAAACTAACTGGTGCGTGCAATCGATCATCTCCCCATTAGGGCTCAACCAATGTATCCCCATGATAACCTTGCTCTCACGCAAAGGAATAGGAACGAAGTCGATCGGATACCTCTCTCGAAATAACTCCAAAATACAACCCCGACGAACCCTCGATACTCTCACTGGACGATGATCGGCGATCTCCACCTATAGCGGATAATCAAGCTCCCAGGAACACCACCAAATCTCTTGCTAAGCACAAGAGATATGAACAATCGGGTGACGTCTGAATCGAAAAGAACCAAGTCCGAAACATCGTTCACTAAAAACGTCCCCATACAATCACATACACATTAAGCAAAAAAAATAAAATTAAGATAGGTAGAAGATAAATACCAGTAACCACATCTTGTTCTGCACTAGCCTCCTCGGCTGTCAGCTGGAAAGCTCGACTCCTCACAAATATCCCCTCCGCCTTGCCCTGGAGGTCGTCGGTAATCCTTAATGTCGTTGGAGCTAGTGCTGCAACCTCCCCTACTGTTAGACTCAGACAATCGACCTTCATGTGGCCTCTCTGATTGCAATGAAAGCAAATCAGTCCTGATACCTGGGTACAATCCATGCTCATGTGACCTGTCTTGCCGCACCTATAGCAGTCTTAACCACCAACCCGTCACACCCCATCGTGTATTTTCCCGCACTTTCCTTAACGGATCTGGCCCTGCTGGCCTCTAGACTGAGAATGAAAAGTCTTGGGCTTCTTAGTTGAGCCCTCAGAAACTTGTACCTGAACCGGCTTTCACTTCAAATAGCTCCAGCTCAATCTCCCACTCATGGGCCCTATCAATCATGTCCTCCAAAGTACGGCACACCAAAAATCTAACAAACTCTTTGATGACATCCCTTAACATATTGTGATACCAGGTCTTCTTCATCTCCTTATATGTAGCATACTACAGAATCAACAATGCCCTTTCCCTAAACTGAGCAGTGATCTCCGCCACCGTTTGCATAGTTTGTCTGAGATCCTGAAAATATCTCACTAATTGTTGCACGTCAATAGATGGTGAAAACTCCGCTCTAAATCTGGTCACAAAATCAGGCCAGTTCATGGCTTCCACACCCGGTACTCCCATAGCATGGCCGACCTCCTCCCACCAGTCGTGTGCTCGATCCCTGCAACCCACCTACTGCTGATAATGGGGTCCTTCTTCCCGAAGAACTCATGTGCACCTCCGAAAGTCCGTGAACAAGAGCGTGCGTGCACCCAACTATCCGACGGCTATCTCCACCCAAAAATCCTAAAAGCGCTCTTCCATCAACTCCACAATACCTTCCTTGATCGACCCGGACATCATAGGGGTCACATCAAGGATTCCTCGCATAATCTCAGATGCAATGAACTCGCATAAACTTGCATCAATAGGTGCGACACCAGAGACTGAACCTTAACTTGAAACTCCTCCTCATGTCATCACCATACTGAAAACAAACAATGCAAACCATCAGATAACACTCGGAGAACTCCACACACTACAATCTCGTTAGTAACTTTGTGACCTCCATTGGTTCGAGTATTGATCCTGTGCTTTAAGTAGTACGGGCTCAATACTACCTTCCACACCTGTCCGTACTTTCCCCAAGGGTTGTCCTGAATCCTCCAAGTTGCTTCCCTATTATCACATACTTCACTCACATGGTAGAATGCCCTATGTGCTAACACCTCCTAGGCTTTCCTAGGGTTCCATCCACACCACTCTCCGCCATAAGCTGCATAAGAAACTCCCCCTAATACCTTCTAACTACCTCCCAAATACAGTTACATACTACGGGTACTAGATAATCCTTCGACTGCAAGGTCTCACGCTACAACGGTTGGACTCAAAAAAGAGTTACACAATCGAGTTAAACCAAACTTTCTAAAATTATCTAATCCTTATAACATGTAACTTAACGTACATGCTTAGTAGTCAGCTGATATTAATGGAAGTCCCCAAATCACAAAGCAAGAAACATTCAAGCATCGAGTAATCCATAACAAACCATAACCTAATCAGGACAGTCTATCCAACATCTGAATCCATACTAGCATGCAACTCTCATATACTCAAATGAAAATCAATCATAAAACATGTAAGGGTATCTTGGGAAATACTTACTTGAGCTCGGCCGATTGCATGCATCACACCCCTTATTTCTATAAAAAAGAATTAGAAAAACATTTCTTTTATGAATTTTTTTTATCAATTCTTCAGTTTGAGTTTAGACACACTTTAGAGAGTGCCTGGATCCCTCAAACCAGGGCTCTGATACCAACTTGGAACGTCCCAAAATATTCTATGTAAAGTTTTTTTGTTATAAGTCTATCAAAACCATCCTTCTTTCATTCCAAAACCATCAAAGTGTGAAAATGTATAAAATATTTATTAGAGTACAAATCATATCATAAAATGCGAAACGCTGGTAGATGTGATGCAATCACGTCGAACTCTTACCTTTGGAACCGGAAGTACCTGAAACATAAACATAAAACTATAAGCATAAAGCTTAGCGAGATCCCCAAAATACAACATACCATACATACAATTTCCATGGGCTACCTCTAGGGTCTTACAATCCAAGTGTCATGGGCTATCCCCATGGTCTTTCATGCAATTTCTATGGGTTGCCCCTCATGGTCTTTCATACATATGTCATAGGCTACCCCCATGATCTTTCATGTAATTACCATGGGCTGCCCCCATGGTCTTTCATACAAATGCCACAGGCTACCCCCGAGGTCTTCCATGCAAGTATCACAAAGACAATTAGCATATTACAAAATTCAGTGGGCCAACATTGGTGCCTTCGACCCATAAGTATAATGAGAAAACTCACATCATTCTGAAGATAAACAAGTCTCACACTCGAGTTGCTAATATAAAAGCTCCTCACACTGAACATATCCAAAACAACCCTAATTAACAACTTTGGTGATAATCCAATAATCAAGGGTCCATTACATACTTTCTCTCAGTAGGGTAAAGACCATTTTACCTTTCCAAGGCTAGTCCCTTCCATACATGGCCTAAATCCCTAAAAAACGACCAATTCCTTTTCTGGGGCTACACCATGTGTACTCCTGCTCTACGCCTTGCGTGGAGTGTTTCCACCGAAAACGATGCCAAACCAGGCTACACGCTGCTTAGCCAGGTTTTCACCTTGCGTAACTTCACAGTTTGCCAACTCCCACATTAAGCCCTTAATATCTTAAGAACAAACGTTTAACACTCATATCTAAACCTAATGGTCATCTCAAAGGATAAAGTTCCTGACTTTATGCCTTTGCATGGCTTAATAGAGCCCAAAACCAAAAACCTAGGTCCATACCACCCTTTAATGACCTCAAACCCATGCATGGGTGAACGATAGAAACAAAGATTATATATGATCCTCAGAAACAACATAAAGTGACAACCTTAAGCTCTGGAGTAGCTTTTACTCACAAGAACCAAAACCATGGGACCAAAAGCTTGAAAACCAAGAATCTAACCTAGATCTAAACCATAGAACCATAAATGTGACAACTTTATACCTCTAGAAGTTTGAAAAAGAGGTGAAAGCTCTGGATCCTCAAGCTTAAGCCACCGCAATCCACAATGATAGACTTCTTATTCTTCAATATGCACCAAGAACACACAAAAGGGCTCAAACAAGCTCACAAGGGATTAGGGTTTCGAAATGACAGCTTGGGAGAGTGAAGGTTGATGGTAAGGGAGGCCTCAAGGGACTTAAGGTCTTTAAATAGGGTCTCAACCCTAAAAAAATTAGGGTTGGGGTTTTGAGTAATTACGCCATGCGTAGAGCATAAAGTCCCCGCGTCCATTTAATGACTTACGCCGTGCGTAATTCATTACTTACGCCCTATGTAAGGACCATTTTGCAAGAAAATTTATATTTAAGCTATGAATGAAAAGTACCCGAGAAACGGGTGTAATAAGGGCACTGAGTGTGATTCCTGGGAACTGAGTATGATTTATGGGCACTTGGTTTAGATCTGATAAAAAAAGGGAGTTGGTCTTGGTGGTTTTCGGCGGGAGTGGGTAAAGAGAGAATGGTGGGATATTATGTTATATATTAAGTTGATGCAACATAAAACCGTTAAAATCAATATAGATAAGGGATACTTTCAAAGTATACAAGTTATAAAAAAGTGGTGGTATGGGTTGAGAGGTTCGTAGAGCATCCACAATGATGAGTTTAATAAGGGAGTTCAATGAGGTAAAAAATCTAATTGTCATTCAATAGGTGAAACTTTACTATTAAGAGATGTCACTTTGTCATTCAATTAGTTTGAAATTTAATGGTCATTAAACTCTTCAACGGGAAAAAAGAAAGTTTACTAACTCTAAATAAATACTATAAATTAACTTTTGTAATGTTCGATTGAACTTTATAGAATTTAACGTATTGTAAAAAAAAATTGATAGCGTTGTATAAAATGTAAAAAGATGATATGACAATGTATTAAATTTTATAGATTTCAATGAATTGTGGATGTCTCTAGAAAGAATACGTAACCCAAATCAATTTGTTTATAAATAAACAAACCGAAATTACTTTTGGAAAAGTTATGAAAATATAACTAATATATAAATAAAATTCACATTTTTTTGGTATGAATTTATTCTTGTGAAATAATTATATTTGTTGTGTAACCAAAGTACTACCAAATTCGAGAGACCAATTATTCAGTTCACTCAAACATTTATAGATCTGGAAAGGGACAAAATTTACAGCCAATTTGGAAGAATTAGACAAAAAATGAATCTAAAGAGAGCTTTGGACATGTTATTTCCGTCATGATCAAGTTGTATTATTAACTCGAAACTTATTCCAATTCCAACGAACTAGCTATCATGAACACTCCTGGCGCACGTTAGAAGCCACAGCTCTAGCCCAATACTTGATATGTGCTTTCATGTCTTCTGATGAACTCTTATCAACCCATCCTCCTGGAATTGCAGGAGCACCATTTTTGTTCTTTCCACTAATCTTTATGTTTTTGCTTCTGTTTCTCTCAGTTTTCCTCACATCACGAATCTTTTCTTGACCTAATTCGGGTTTCTTTCCCATGTTTTCCATCATCGCCTGCATGCAAAACCCGATTTTAATTATACATATAGATTAATCTTGATATTCGATATATTCTTTGCAAAACTATGTACCTTAGATGTTTTTCGAGATGGGTTTGATGTATGTGAAGAGTTCATCGATGCTTGTCTTATCAATCTCCCCAAACTAAACTCACTTTCTTGATCTTCTTCATCCTCTTCTTGATCAGTTTCATCTTCAGAAGTTGTCATGGATGATGTTCTACTCAAATGCGGACTTGTGTCGGTATTTTTCATTATAAAGGATCGTGTTTCCACTGAATTTGGCAAAGATGGTGTTCTGTTTAGATTTCGAGGAGCAATGGGTGGCTGCTTTCTTGAGGAAACGCTAGAGTTCTTTCTCTCATTCTTAACAATGGATTCTTGATTGGAACATAGAGGAGGAAGAGGAGGGCAAGAACTGGAAGTAAGATCAGAATAACATCGAGAAATGGTTCTTGTTTTTGTGTGAAGTAAGTTTCCAAAGAACCAACTATCTTCTAAAAGATCTCCAGGTTCTTCCATTAGACACAGAATCTTGATAAATCTTATGAATGATGAGGATCTTGAATGGATTTGTTACGATGCTACAAAAAGCGGTGAATGAAGATGGTTATGATTGGAGGAGGGATGAAGTGGGATTGACTCATGTGGTTTTTGAGATTGCTGCAATTTAAAAGACATTAAAAAAACGATTTATTCGATACAAATGAGCAAAGAACGTAAAAACAAAATCCATACTCTTTTGGTTTACATGACAATGTGCATGAATTTAAGGAGGGTGGATTGTAATTAACTGATTGGAGGTTGGGAAGTGAATAAGAAAATGGCTATTGCCAGCGACTACCCATGTGCATGTTCTTTGTTTATGGACTACTTCTGCACCACACATCATATTGTATCCATATAAATAATCAACTATCTTATTTTTACTCATTTGTCTAACAAGTTATTCTTTTTGATAATTAAATTTGATAAATATCATGTCATTACAGTTGTTATTTTTTCCAAGTTTAATGACTTAATTAGCAAAAAGATAAATTGTTCTTTTTTTTAACCGTGTAGTATGCATGGCTTATACTTGAGGAGCGATATAATATACTTGAATATATGCATGAAAGTCTGTTTAGACACAAATGTTGAAGATTGGAGCGTGCTGACTCTGAACAAAGAAAGATCAAAATACAAACAAGTACGATCATATCATGTTTTACAAAATCTTGATGCCGACAACTGCAAAGAAACAAAGAAACACAAACATATCCATGTTAACTAGAATGCAATTAGATATTGTTTTGTTTTTGACTTATCGAATTTTAACGGACATGACTTGAGGTATTTGGGGTTACTTATTAATTAGAACTAACTTATGATTTTTCATAAAAGTGTTTACTAGCTTATGTGGTATAAAACATAATAAGAAAAAAACATGCAAGTTTGGATTAGTTTATGTGTTATAGAAACTTAATATGTGGATAAGTTGTTTTTAGTGTTTGACAAATTCTACTTAATTATGCATGTAAAATATTAAAATAGATGTCGATCTCTATATATTATTGACTTATTTGTTTTTTTTTAATCATTTATAGTAATATTTTTGATAAAAACTTAAGGAAATCTCCACAAAAGTTCTAATATTTTACCTTAATTTATGAAAAAAGTTTCAAACTAAAATTTGTTTACGAAAAAGCATGAATTACCAGTACAACTGATTATTCTATTATTTTTTCCCGGTTTACCGGTTTCATTACTTACCCGGTTCCATTAAAGTTTCATTATTTTACTATAATCTACAAATAAGCCCTAAACTAAAATTAAATGATGATCTGACCATTTTCTCCATGTAACATATATATTATCGGTTTCATTGCTGACCTGGATGCATAGTCATTAAATTAGCTGATGAGATGGATATGTTGGATTATATAATGTTATACTTAACATAAAACTTGATATCTTGATGTACTGTATATTTTTCGAAGTATAAAATGCATCAAATGAAGACAACAATAATTACATAAACTGATAGTTTTTACATGTAATAATGCGGAAAATATCATATACTCTTAAGGGTACATGGAACCTAATTTGATCTATGACATAACACTATTGAAGCAACATACTATTGGACAACAAAACTTCTAAACCCTAATGAGTATCAAAATTCACAATAGAATAACTTACCTCTGGTTTGTTATTGCAAACAAACCCTTTGATCCAACTAGATCAATCCAATAGTCTCTTGAAAACTAGCTTCAATTGTGTGCAAGATTCTAATGGTTTACATCCACAACACAAGAACCCTAGAAGGATTAGGAGAAAGGGGAGAGGGGGCAGATTTTCGGATCTGGCATAAGGAATAGCATGGCCGAAAATTCCCAGCTATAAGGCCCTATTTACAGCTGATTAGAAAACACCTAGAAACCCTAATTTAAACATAAAAAAAATATTATTTCAAATAAGACAATTATCTACCAAATGGCTTATAGCCTAGCGGTATCAGGTGTTGCATTCCCTCCTTGAGGTCGAGGGTTCAAGTCTCGTTGGAGACATAGGTAGAAATAGGAGTACTTTAAGAGAAGATTAGATCTGCCGTTCAAAAAATAATAATAATAATAATAATAATAATAATAATAATAATAATAATAATAATAATAAATAAGGCAGTTATCTAGTTCCTTATCATCTACATGAAGGCTTCCAGAAGGCTCCAAGAGGAGCCTCAAAAATCGTCCAACAGAGGAAGGTTTTGGAACCTGTCATCTACTCAAATTTTGAAAAATTACAACTATAGTCCTTCAACTTTTAATTAATTCTAATTAACCCAGAATTAATTACAAATTAATTCTAATTAATTCTAAGTTGGTTATAACTATTTCTAATTAATATATTAGTCATATAATACATTAATAAATCATTTAGCTCTCTCCTATAATCAATTTAAACAATTTCTTGGTTATGAGGTCAACCCAAAAATGACTTTACTTTTATTCATCAACATCATACCAATTTAGTTAGGACCTTAGACACTTTAATCCAACA